ATTGAGTAGTTTTCACTCTTTCTACACTTGAATTTTGATGTGAGACTGTAATCATTGAAAAACTTACTTTCGAGGTTCGTAGTTTGTTCTAGCTAGTAAACATTGGTTTATATGATTGATAATTGTTAATTTTTCAAATTTAACTTGACCTTTTTTGTTTACAGGATTTTTAGAAGTCAATTTTCAAATGTTTCGTGAATTGTTGATGGTGGCTGGGTTATAACAATTTTCTTTTCTATTCGATCCATTTCTCATGTGGTAAATAGGATTTTTGATTATGACTAGTCAAGGATGGAACCAAGATTTTATTACAAGTGGGGTCAAAAGACAAATAAATTTTTTTATCATATACATAATTAACATATATGTACAATATGATATATAATTATATCTATACACATAAAAAAATTCAAATACTATAGAAGCAATTTCTAATAGGATGAAAACAAAAGCTTTTTTTGATGTAAAATAAAAAAGAGAATGCAAGTTAGGATAAGAATTAGATATGTATTTTTATACCGGAGGCCATTTATCTATAAAATGAGATAATATGATATTTTTAAAATTGTCATGACAAATCATATTTTTCATAAAAATAGAGAGGCCATGACCTCCTATAGTCTTTTCCTAGTTCCGTCCTTGTGACTAGTAGAGAAATACGTGTGTTGCATGTGGATTTGATCAAGGAAATAATTTAATCAATATTGGAAGATTTTGTATTCAAATAGTTTTGTTTGTTTGGATAACTATGCATCTTAATTGCACTTTTAGAAATTGCTCAAAAAAATTTTTTGCATCATTTTTTAACCTTATCACTACAAGTAAAGACACCGAGAGGACAGATTGTTAATGACACAAATGGCTTTATGGCACTATGGATAATGGTTGACCATTTTAGAATTCCTTCAGAAATATCTTTTTTTATTTCTTTTTTTTTCCATTGGCACTAGGTGTTCAAATCAAAGCCCAACTAATCTCTAGGGGGTACACAGGCTCTCGACAAGGAGTTTCTCACAAGTACATCATGTCATTTTCTAATTTGTCAATTCGAAACGAGTTTCTATCAATGATAATAACTAATAAATGTGATTATTAACATCTAATACATGCCTAATGTAATGAAAATCATCGCTTCTTCATTTTTTATTTTATTTTTTGATGACCTATTAACACTACTGTAAAATTAGGCTATAAGTATACATAATAGAATTGAAATACTAAAACAAAGAACAAAAAAACAAAGGCTGGCCAAACAATTAATGTGTTTCATGGCAATAGCCCAAACGTCTCAAGTATCTTTTGATTCATTTGAATTTAGTTTGAATCAAATGATTATTCATTAGAATGTGCATAAATTTAGTTTTCTAAAAAAAATGATGAAAAATATAATACAAATGAAACAATTCCATTCTATTCCACTTTCATTGCAACAAACCAAACTTAGCATAGATAAATAGGACCGTATGGCACTACATACTGTTTATGTATCTGTGCGTGTTTTTATTTTGTTTTGTTTTTTATATTTATACTTATAGATGTACATACATATGTGAGATATTATTAATATTAAAAAAAAAAAGGAAAAAGAAGAGTACTTACAAACAACAAAAGACCTTTTTTTTTTTTGAACAGACAACAAAGGAAGATTACAATCAAGGGTGACATAGCTTAAAATTTATTGAACATTTGATTTTTGCTTGGCATTAAACTTTTTGAGAGAACTCTCTTTTGCATCATGCTTAGACTCAAAGAAAAAGGGATAAAATAACTTAGAAGACTGAAAAAATGATAATAAGATGGAAGAGAATGATTAAATATGTTTAAATTTAACTAAGAGATAATATGCTGAAGTTTAATTATAGAGTAGAGAGAAGGTAATACATGGTTTAAGTTTTCATTTTATGGATATTTACCAATAAATTCCATCACATAAATAAATACTTCAATTAGTTTCAAGTTTTCTCTATTGATCTATTAAGTCTTATTAGTGGAAAGTTTCTTTCCGTGTGATCTTATTTTTTATTTTGGTAGTGTTTTGGTGGATAGCTATATCCTTTTACAACTGCGACAGGTATGACATACTCCAATATGACAAGTATTAATGTGACACTCTAACGATGTGACACTTCAAAAAAATTAAAAACTTCTTAGTATACTTTTTCTAAATGTGATAACGTGCTGGTATGATGTGACACTCCAAAACTTTTACTTTAAAAAAATAAAAACTCCTTAGTGTATTTTTCTCAAATATAACAACGTAGCGGTTATGATATGACATTTAAAAAAAACTAAAAATTCATTAGTATACTTTTTTCAAATGTGGCAACATGGCGAGTATGATGTGACACTCTAAAAAAAATTAAAAACTCCTTAGTATACTTTTCCCAAACGTGACATGTAATACTCCAATATGATGAGTATGATGTGACACTCTAAAAAAATTAAAAATTCTTTAGTGTACTTTTCCCAAATGTGATACTATAACATGACGGGTATGATATGACACTAAAAACTCTTTAGTGTACTTTTTCCAAATATGATACTCCAATATGGGGGGCAAATAAGTCATTATACATCCAAAATGATTAAATGGATCACAAGAAAAAATATGAGACTATATGGATTACAAGTCCAAAATATGAGATTTTTTGGTCAATATTCCTTAATTTTTAAAAAGTTCTCGACAAAAAACAAAATAAAATTTATATCTAAGGTTTAATATCACTATTACTTAGTAAATAATTTAAAAGGACAAAATAGTCTTTTGAACATTTATTCTTCTTCATAATATCTCAACTAAACATATGATTCAATAAGATAGTTCTTTCCTAACATGTAATCCTATAACTAAACAAATATGGGATATAAATAATTTTCAACTAAATAGTTGAAGGACTATCTATCCCAAGATTAAAAGTCCAATAGATTATAATCCCCCTTATTCAGTCCGTCTAAACAAACATGACCAAGATGTATTTAAATTTCAAATATTAGATATTTGGTCGGTCGGATTTTAATTAAGCAAAATACTTTAAATCTGATATACGAATCAAAACTACTTTTTTTTTTGGCAAAATTACACCCGTATCCAATCGAATGGGCCATCGAAATCGACCGTAAACCACTAGGTCGGGCCGGGTAAGTCGATTTGGCTGGGTCAGGTGAACTTATGAACAACCCTAGTTGGGGGTATGAATTAGGTTTAGTTTAGTTGAGAATTAATTGTGTGTGATTGTATGTACCTTTCGTTTGATAGATTAAATAAATATATAGATATATATATATATATATATTCGTGGCAAGCCTAACTCATGAGTTTTTTTAACCAAACCCACGTTTGTTTTGATTTAATTTACTAAATCCAAGTTGTTTTGAATATATGAGAAATGCTATGTATCTCAAATATTTTACCAAACCTCTCACATGGTGTAGGACTCACACATAGAGGTTTGATAAAATATTTAGTAAAATATTTGAGATCCCTAACATAACTCTGAATATATTTACTAGATCTATGTTGTTTTTAAAGTTGTGCTTTAGACTCCGTTTGGGAAGAGTTAAACGGGATTTTTTTGGTTATTTTAGCAACAAAAGACAAAATAGGCTATTTTAGCCACAAAAAACAAAATATCACATCCAACTCATAATCATTACACTCTTCTCTCACAAAAAAAGTCAAAAAAATCAAAAAGCCAAAAGCCCTTCCCAAACCAAACTTTTTGGCACAAGTTAAAATAGTCAAAAAAGTCAAAAAACTAACCCACCTCCCAAACGGAGGCTTAGTATCATGAGTTTTCGTAAAATCGTGTTTCGACTACACCATTTCAGGAAGAAGCTATGGTCGTGCAGCTGAAACACAAGTTCAACACGATTTTGAAATAGTTGCCGCATAAGTACATGAAGTAAAAAGAGCTGGAGGAGATCTCTGCTTGAATTCATGTCTTCAACATCCAATTTCAGGGAGGCTCTATCTACACACACCAAATCCCCTCTATACACACACTTAATGATATTTAATTTTATTACAATTTTATCCCTAAGTGAAATTACTATTTTAGACATCATTGTTGATTCAAAACATCTCAATGCACACATCCATCTCCAGTTCACATCTGTTGCATCGTGGGTTCAAGTTTGTAGTTTCATTGAGCTAGAAGTGAAAGCAGAGTATTCACTCATTCCTATCTTCTTCCAAGTTCGTAACTTCTTCCATTAAGCTCCAAGTTCGTAGCTTCTCAATGCACTCATTCATCAACCTTCCTCATTCGTAGGGAAAACATCATTGTTATGGAGGATTTGCCTTCTGAAAATAAGCAAATAAGTATTTATGAGAAACATAGCGAAGGAAATGTGAGTTCCTTTTTTTTTTCGGCGTCGTTCGGATAACCAGAGTCGAATTGTATTGTTTGGTTTGGAAATCTACTACCGAAATAAGTGTTTAGTTTCAGAAGTTGTTGTTCGAACAAAATAATTAATTTCGGAAGTTGATGTCCAAACAAAGTATTTAAATTCGGAAGTTGTTGTCCGAACAAAGTTAACTTTTACAACATTCAACTTCCGAAATTTGAAAATAAATTCGGACAACTACTTTCGAATGAAGTAAAAAAAAAATTTCCCATTTTATATTCGAAATTTGCAAACTGCATACCAAATTTACAGTTTTGAATTTCAAATTAATCTTTATAATGCCATTAAAAATTTGTAATGTTATACAAAACATGTAGGAATATGTGTTAACTCAAGGAAGTCAGGTTTGCGCGGATTTTGTGTTGGATTACACTACTCAATTCATAACTGAACAAGTTCACTCTACGAAATTATAATGATTATGTTTCGAATTGCTCACCAAATGTAAATGTTTGATAATATTTATTTGACTTTGTAAGTATTCAAAAGTAAGGATGAATTGCTCAACTGGGTACGTGAAGTTGGAAAGAGAAATGGTTTAGTCATTGTAATCAAAACATCTGACTATGGTGGAGGGAAAAAAAAGACCCAGGATGTATCTTGCTTGTGAGAGGAGTGGCCAATATAGAGCAACAAAGAAGTTAAAACATGATGGCAACAATACATCAAGAATAACCGGTACGAAGAAGTGTGGTTGTCCTTTTGATATGAGGGCTCATAGGTTTATCACACATGATGAATGGACATTGACCGTAGTATGCGGATTGCATAATCATCCACCTGCGGAGCACCTTGAGGGACATTCATATGCGGGGAGGCTATCAAAGGATGAGAAAGCATTGTTAATGGATATGTCAAAGAGCGTGGTTCGGCCAAAAGAAATCCTAGTAACCTCGAAACAGCGAGATGCCCTCAATGTAAGCACGCTTAAAACCATTTACAATGTACGCCATGGAAATAGGGTGGTACAGAGAGCTGGAAGATCACAGATGCAACACTTATTGGGTGAATTGGCCAAGTATAATTACATTGAGCGCCATCAATCTGAAGAGTCCACAATGACTGTGACAGACTTGTTTTGGGCACATCCTACCAGTTTGGACTTATTTCGGTCTTTCCCACGTATATTAATTATGGATTGCACGTATAAAACCAACAGATATCGTCTTCCTCTTCTTGAAATTGTGGGAGTGGCATCAACTGAAATGACATTCTCTGTAGCTTTCGCATACTTATAGTATGAGAGGGTCGATAACTATGCGTGGGTGTTAGCTACATTGCGTGATGTCATGGATGGTTTTGTTGTGCCAACAATTATTGTTACTGACAGAGAGCTAGCCTTGATAAATGCCATACAGAAGATATTCCCGAGTGGTAGACATTTATTATGTCGTTGGCATATCAGTAAGAATGTATTGACCAAATATAAGAAAATGTTTGAGACATAGCAAAAATGGGAAAAGTTCAACCATGAGTGGAACTCTTTAGTGTATTCATCTTCTAAAATTCAATACGATGATAAATCATTACTTAAGGAATTCAGTAGTTATCCTGATGCAGTCAACTACGTCATGGATACTTGGTTAGTTCCTTACAAGGACAAATTTGTGGCGGCATGGACAGACACGTGTATGCATTGTGGCAATGTTACAACGAACCAGTAAGATTACTTTTCTTCAATATGTTATTAATAAGTGCCATGTACTTGATTTCAATTTGACTTACATTGAATTAAACAGGGCTGAGAGTGCACATGAAAAACTTAAAAGACAATTGGGTTCATGTCAAGTCTCATTTCAGGCATCATTTGAGAAAATACACAGTCTGCTTGAGTTGCAACACACTGATATCAAGGCTTCATTTGAGAAAAGTTTAACTGTTGTGCAACATCAATTTAAACCTTCTCAGTTCAGGGAGCTACGGGGTAATGTGTCTATCTCTGCATTGGAGTATTTGCTTGTAAAGAGTAAGAGAGCCAATTCCATTGATATTGATGTTGAAGCTTGTGGATGCGTCCTTCGCCACACTCATGGTTTACCTTGTGCCCATGAGATTGCTGACTACATCAGACAAGATCGTCCTATACCACTTGCTACCATACACTCACAGTGGAGGCAACATCATATCTCCGTATGTAACAAAGAAGACGAAACAGAGGTGACTTGTCATGCAAAAGTAAAGTTGTTTGTGAACAAGTTTAATGAAAGTGATAGAACCATGCGGTTGGAGCTTTTGAAGAAGTTGAAAGAGATTGTATATCCGGGAAGCACTTTTCTTGTTAAGCCGGAGGTGAAACCCAAAACACGTCCTCGGGATCATAAGAAGATCAATGTTTCTACCCGTCGTGACCTGTGTGCATTTGCGTTGGTGCAATCTGGACATGATTCCTTCTCACTTAGGGACACTCAAATCACTACATTAGCTTCTACTCTACAAACCAAGAAGAAGCGACCTGTTAAGGGAAAGGAGAAGGTGAATCTGAAAGAGAAGGTATACATTACTAGAACAGTGAAACCTGGTGCATATGTTGATGCTTTCCCTTCTGGGTTGAAACCATACATTAAGTTTGTCAAGGATGTAGCTGCAGATGGGAATTGTGGTTTCAGGGCTATAGCTGCTTCAATTGGTCATACAGAAGATGATTGGGCTCAGGTTAGGCGTGATCTATTGGGTGAGCTGCACATACATAAAGAGGAATACATTACACTTTATGGGTCCTACGAAAGGTTTGAAGAATTGACAAGTATGACATACATAAAGAGGAATACATTACACTTTATGGGTCCTACGAAAGGTTTGAAGAATTGACAAGCATATTGTCATACTTTGAAGACAGTCCTGGATACTCACATTGGAAGACTGTGTCAGACATGGGGCATCTTGTTGCATCGTGCTACAATCTTGTGTTATACCACTTGTCATTACAACAATGTCTCACCTTTTTACCTCTTAGAACAGTGCAAGTACCTCGACTTGATAGACGTGAGATTGCCATTGGGTTTGTCAACAGAAATCATTTCGTCCAGGTATAACAGAAACTTATAAATTGGGTTTGTGCATGTACAAGAAGTTATGAGGTATGACCACTAACTCAATTGATATTTGGTGCAGGTTTTGTTGCAGCCAGGCCATCCAGTTCCTCCTATAGCCACTAATTGGCGAAAATACCGTCACCCTTGCGCTGTCGACTGGGATGATGCATATGTGCGTCGCATTCAACATTTTAAGGACATTATTCATGATAATGTAGCTACTCGAGAGACTTTTGATGTTGTTGATGTCGCATGACACATGTATGCATTTGACAATGTTAGAATTATAGAAGAAATTAATGGATGTGTTTTTGATGTTGATGTGTTCTGTTTTGCAATTTGGATTGAATGTTATCGACCATTGCTACCATTCCATTGTAATAAGAAAATATCATTTACAAAATAAACAACCATTGTGACCATTGTTACCATTCCATTCTAATAATAAAATGTCATTACAATGTCATTACAATACCATTGTTGCCATTACATTCTAATAAGAAAATATTAACCACTGTTACCATTACAACAATATCATCTTACAAAAAACACCAAAAAAAATCCACCAACTAACAAATAACATGTCACGAATCAGCTGTATGTCTACGCCTAGGCCTACGACTGTATGTCAATGTCGAAGATGGAAAGCGACCTCCAGTATAACTAGGTCCAGCAGAACTAGGTCCAGCTTCGTCAATGTGCTGACCTTCAAGGACATGCATCATACTCTCGATAGCCTGGTAAAGTCGATAAGGATGTCGAATCCCCTCCTCATAACCAGCGTCAATAATAGGATGTGAAATCTGCAGTGCATGTGCAATACGCTGCATTTGAAAAGAATATCACATTTTATGGAACATATCAGAAAATAAAAAGTAAGTTACAAATGCATAAAAGAGGATAATATATTACATCGGCATGTTGGCTGAAATCCTGATGGTCATGGACACGCGGTTCATCAGTGTGCTCAACATATAGGTGCGTGATATTTTTATACCAATCCATGTAACCCAGTACACATTCCCACGGCTGACGAACTGGTGTGCTCCTCCGTTGCTCAGATAACACGTGGTTATCCCAAGCCTCCCAGATCCTATCCAAGTATCTATACATGACTATATATCGTGCAGATATATTACCCCGAGCACCACGACTGGGAGCTAGCGGTGCATCTGGAATGGTTTGAACCTTGCCAAACTGCCTCAGAACTCTATCTGGATGATAGGGTTTGACAACGTCTAAGCACTTTAAGCATCCATGGTAGAACGTAACCGGGTTACATGGATGGCGGTCTCTGCAGTTGTGGTATGGATCCCAAATAACCTGTAAACATAAAGTGTTTTTGAATTAAAGTATATAAAGGGTAAGATAAATGGAAAACAGCTGTAGTGACATGACTATTGAAACTCTGCAGTATTGATGGATCAATCGGTCCACCTAGAAAAGCATGAGTAAGGTCCTCTTCCTGGACAGGAGGAGAATCAGGTAAAGAGGCATCCTCCACAGCAATGTCAGGCATATCATAACCTTGAACTCGTCTTTGGCTTCAGCTCCGACTTTGACTAGCACTGGGGATATCATATTCTACTGAAACTGGATCACGACCTCGACCACGACCTTGACCTCGTCCTCGCCCACGCTCTTGTCCCTGTTCATGATCTACATCCAATTCATGACGTCGTCTATTTGAAGCAGTAGGTGGGGCACGTTGTTGACATTCAGAATCCATATTATCTGCAAAAAATAATAAGTGTGTGTAAATAATGAATGGCCATGCAAACAAGTGTGTGTAAATAAAGAGAGTGTGTGTAAAATTATAATAAGTGTGTGTGTAAAATTATAATAAGTGTTTATTCAAGTGAAATTACTAATAAGTGTTTAACAAAATTATAATAAGTGTGTGTAAATTATAATAAGTGTGTTTATTAAGTGTGTGTAAAGAGGGAAATGGGGATGTGGAAATATAATTTTCCTTCAAAAAAAAAAAAAAAAAAAAAAAAAAAAAAAAAAAAAAAAAACCTGTTCGGAAGTTCACAGCCGAAAATACATATTCTGTTCGGAAGTTGAAATCCGAAACACAAAAATAATTTCGGAAGTTGACTATCGAAACAATGAAACATTTTCGGAAATCTACTGATGAAATTATTGATTGTTTTCGGATTTCTACGTCCGAACCAATTGTTATATTTCGGAAAACCAGTTCCGAATGACAGTTACAAATGAAAAACTCTACATTACAAGTAAAAAACTCTAAATTACAAATGAAAAACTCTACATTACAAATGAACATGGGGTATGCTAGCCGTTGGGAGCTATTTGGCAAATGAAAAAAATTAAAGATTGGTGAAAAAAGTTACCCTAACTGTGTGAAGCAGAGAGCTATTTGCACCGTAGGGAGAGCAATGTAAGAGATGCAACGCAGCTTCAATGGGTGTATTTGCACCGTTGGGAGAGCAATCTGAGAGATGCAGCTTCAATGGGTGTGCACTGTCGGGAGAGCTGGGTTTGAGGGTGTGTGTGTGTGAGAGAGTGTGATGTGGAATCAAATGTGTGTGCAGTGAGTAAAAGAATTAGGAATTATTTTTTTGGGTGTGTAGTGAGAAGGATGTGCAAAGAGGGGGTTTGGGGTGTGTAGATAGAAGCTGCCCCAATTTCACAATTTCGCATGGGTTCGGAATTAAGTTGAAAAGGGCATGGGTTCGAGAAATTTGTTAACAAACTACATGAGTGTGGTAAAAAACTTCCTAACTCATTATTCACTTAGTGAGTGTTTGGGAAATTGTTATTTTGGTGGATTTTTTTAGTTTTTGATTATTTTAGGAGGTTAAAATTTTTGGGTATGTTTGGTTTGTGTTTGTAGAGTAGTTTTTGAGATAAAAAGTACGAAAATTTGTTTGGTTTAACTTTTTTCAAAAATGGTTTTGAAAATTTGTTTTGGAGAAAGAGTTTTAAAAAAAGTGATTGATTTGATGTGTATGAGAGAGTGTGTGATTTTGGAAAGTAGATAACCAAACAAAATTTTTAGATTTTTTTTGGAATTTTTTTTTTTAGTTTGATTACTCTTGAAAATTTGTTTGTAGAAAATTTTTCCCAAAATTTTTTTTGAATTTTTTTTTTTTTTTTTAAATTTTTTTTGAATTTTTTTTTTTTTTTTTTTTTTTTGTGTTTGGAAAGATAGTTGAGTTATTTTGTAGTTAAATTTGATGTTTATGAGAGAAAAAATGAAATGATTATGAGTTTGATGTGACATTTTGTCTAGATTTATTTTTTTTGATTTTTTAACCAATTTTGTCTTTTAGTGTTTTTTTAGCAAAAAAAAAAAAAAAAACACTTCCCAAACACCACTTTAGCCTTGTTAGTGATGACATACTTAGTGTAAAAATTATTAGAAAAAGGATTAAAAAAAATGTGTTTGTTCAATGACCATAGTATTAGTAAAAGTTCATTTTTGTTTTGTCATTCTATGATATGATTAACTATATGAAATTACATAAATACCTTTGGTGTTTTTGATATATTTTAATATTAAAAATTATATTTCATAAATACATAGGTAGCATTTGATAGAGTTTTAAGACTATGATTTGATAATAGAATTATATTTTGAGTTTGTGAGTTTTGAAATTATGATTTGAGTGTGAAAAATTTGTTTGGTTATAAGTTTTGAAATTTTTTTTGAAATGAATGATGTGATATATGATAATTGATTCAAAAACCTACAATTCATAACCAAACACACAAACTAATATTCTATTCAAAGCTCATAAAAAATTTTAAAATATTTTTTATATAAAATAAAAAAACCGGACACTGTTCTGGTCAACCGACTAGACGTCTAGGAGGACGTTCGAAAAGATGACTGGGTAGACGTATTTTGAAAAGTGAGTATGGAATCAATTTTTAAACATGCTAACCAAACACAATACTCAAAGTAAGAGGTGAAACTAAGATTTCAGAATTCTACCAAACAGAGTCATAATTTTTTTGGCACTATATTATTTTAATATATATATATATATATATGGTATAGTATAATTTTTTTTGTGTATAATTTTGTTATTATATTATTATATTTTAATATTAAAAAATATTTTTTAAATTAAATTATTTTGATATAAAGAATCATGGGAGTAAAAAATGGTGGAAAAAAAATAGTAAAGAAAAGATCATACTAAGGGTAACTAACACGACAATATGACAAAATAATCTTTTCCAAACGAATTTCAAGGGATTACTATCCCAAAAAGTGATTAAACAACTCTAATAATAATGTAATATACCAGACGCAATCGCAACAATCCTATATGGAGTACTTTATTACAAAATTTTTAGAGGAAGAATTACACTAATCGTTCTTGTAATCTAAGATTTATGTCACTTTTGTTTTTATGCTTTCAATTGTGATACATTTTATCTTAAATTTTGAATTTCGTTCTAAATAAGAACAATTGAAAATATTATTATTTCATTTCAAGAACAAAATTGTCAATTTAATAAAATATAAATTAATTCGACAAAAATAAATATCAAAAAATTATTATTATTAAAAATTATTTCTACTCACAAAAGATAAAGTTAAATAAAATCATAAATTTTTGCTTTATTTTTTTTTTACCAAATTAATTTTTAGTATATGTTTAGATGATGATCATATAATAGATGATTATTTTCGTTAATATTTTTGGATGATTATCATGCACTAGATGATTGTATTTGTTGTTAACACATACTTTTTGATTATGATTATCATGTAATGAATGATTATTAGGCTTTCGATATATAATTGATATGTTTAATATATGAAATGTTTTTAGTTTTAAATTTTTTAATTTAATGGATTGATTTAATAATAATATCAAAATTGTCATCATATTTGACTTTTAAAAAAATAAAAACTAATTTAACAAAAATAAATATTAAAACAAATTATTTTAAAAAATTATTTCTACCCTGCCAAAAAATAAAATTATATAAAAATAATGTGTTTTAAATTTTTTTTCTCCAATTTAATTTTTAATTTCATAGATTTTTTTTTTTTTAAATAGATTCTAAAAACCAAACCAAATAGAACTTTATAACTAAAAAAGTTCCAACATTATTAATTATAAAAAAAAGACCATTATATTTCAAACATATAAATTAACCACACAAAATAAGATGTATAATAATTTTACCCTTCAAATGGAGCAACAATGTGTTCAATAATCCTTATTTAGAACAATATTCAAAATTTAAGATCCAATGTATCATAAGAGTGTTTTGAGAAGATGATTAAAAATTGACTTTCTGACTTTTTTTTAAAAAATGTACAAAAAATGTAAGAGGTAATGTGACCAAAAATGGGCTAAAAGCTGCCTTTTGACTTTTAACCGTATGCTTTGGAAGAAGCTTGTACAGTTTGAGAAGGGGTTTTGATTGATCAAAAAGAAGAATCTACTTCAACCGACATGCCCTTAGGCACGTCCTACATGACCCAATCAATTTGATCAGGCACTCGCCATCTATTTTCATTGTTCAACTCTTTGACAACATGAAAAAACTGCTAGTACATCTGAGAATTCTTAATTGGCTAGTTGTAAATAGCCCCAGGCTATGGAACAAAGGATTATCCCGAACCTACACCGAGGTATTGACGGTGATTCTCAAATATCGCAGAACAGAATGTGATACGATGAGATAGAATGCAATAGAAACAAAGACAGAGAAATAATGAGAATTCTTGATCTCTCTCAATTCGAAAATCCAGGATTTGAATTGAAAGTGACACAAGTCTCAAACTATAGACGCTATTAATATAATTCATCATTTTTAAAACATAACGCTATGTTTAGATTTTAAATTTGTTGTGAGAAAAGAAAATGAAATAGTATACAAAAAATTATGTAATTAGTAACGTTTTACAAACAACGCTCTAAAGGGGAAAAAATGCCACAAAAACCTATTGTGATGTTCAAACCCAAACATCGATGAAACCGTTGCTATAACTTTACGACATTTCTTAAATCTCGTTAAAAACCTTTACAAGATGTTTATTAAACGCCATTAAATACAGGCAAATACCATTTACAGACCCTATTAATGGCGTTTTCAAAAACGTCATCATCATAGCTTGTTTTGTCGTCATAGCTTGTTTCGGGAGGGAGGAGACAAACTACTACATCAAAACACCAAATATTTGTATTTCCATAAATTTTTATTCAAGAAGTTATTGATTGGTTATGGGACAGCACCACATGACGCTCCACATGTTTGTAATTGGTAGAAGAGGTGAGGCCCACGATTGTATTAGGTGATTGAAAAATATAAAGACATGAAGATTTGGTTTGTGATTGGCCTGGGTCGTGGCCAAGTGATGCCCCACAACCAACCAATAATTTTTTTCTATTCAAGGGCCATCCGTCAATCACAAGGGCCTTCTTTTTTCTTTTTCTTTTTTGAGTCATATCACCTCTCTATTTCTTAACATGTTTTTTCAAAAAAAATTAAAAAATTAACTTTTAACCTACTTTCCAAAACAGGCCTAAGAGAAACACCATGTTTTACAAGCTTTATTTGCAGGAGCATGAGCTGGCCTCATCAATGACCGCAAAACTTTCAAAAAATACATATATAAACAAACTTAGACTAAGAAGCTTAATAACTTGCAACACAAAACCTAATGCCGAATCATAAGCATCTCCTCTATCCTTGAGTGCATCAACAAGAACTCGACAATCTGAAAATATCAACCACACCCCATTGATTCCGCACCACCCAATGCATTGCATCAAGGCAAGCTCGTGCTTCCACGATGACCGGGGTAGACAACTTAAGAGCTTGGGCAAAATGTGCAATTCCTACTGTGTTACCAATGCTATTGCTTACTCCAAAACATAAAACACCAACATATCAAAATGATGAGAAACAACAGAATAGTGGAGTGCAAATAATATTTTAAAATGTATAATATTTTCTAGATCATTATTTATATGCCTTCTTAATTGGACCAAGATGAGAGTGAAGACGTGAAGTGATTGATCAGAGCAAGATAAGAGTGAAGACGTGAATCGATCGATTAGACAAAGATGAGGTAAAGACATGAATCAATCAATCGAACCAACATGAGAAAAAACTTAAATCAATCAACACTTTCCATATGAATCGCTCTGCCAGGTTCTCTGAAACAGAAAGTTTGAAGAAAAAGCAAAAGGGTTTTCTGTGGAAAGGAAGAGAACAGAAGAAAAGAGGACAGGATTGACTGAGCTCTAAATTAGAATGAAAAATGCTATGAACCCCACCTTACAAATCCCGAATGTACCGGAATGAGAGTTGTGTGGTTGAGATTGAATTTTTGTAGAGTGGTGTTCATGTATAAAATAAATCTGCACCACAAGATGACTATTTTGGATAATTTCTGAATAGTTAATTTTAGGTTTGTAGTATTACTGAATTAGAATAAGAAGGAATAGGGTTGTATTTTTAGACAGAAGGTTTATATTATTGCAAGGAGGGAGGCTAAGGTCAATCCACTTGATTGACAAACTCACCAGCCATGAGGAGTCCTGTATCTAACTACAACCCAGAAACCTGCCTGCCCATCCATGTTTTTCCAACCATCTCACAAAACAATTCCTTTTCAATGAGAATTACCACAAGTATGTGTGCTAGTTCATAGTTTCAAAAGAAATGTGATTCATCCCCCTAATTTTGTCCCCCTAATTCCACCCCGAATGATGTGGCTAAGACCCATGTGAAGTTGTCCAACACCCCTCTCTCTCTCTCTCTCTCGAGTTCTGATACAAACTCTCACAAAACCCAACCCCCACGACCCCCACGCACCTGTGAGAGAGAGAGGAAAAAAAATATACATACATGCCTTGTCCACATCAATTGGGGATCATGGGGGTTTCAAGCATTAATCCTCTCTCTCTCTCTCTCTCTCATCTTTAGTCCCTCCTAATTCCACATCATTGGGGGTGGAATTGGGACTCAATTATGGGGATGTAGCATATCTCGTTTCAAAAAACCATTCTCCACCATGAATGAAGAAGCTTCCCGGTTGTTTCCCCTTTCCTGTGTCAACAAAATCATTACCATCAATGCTGCTTGAAGAACCACTAGCACTCTTTTTTTTAAGACTCACTCTCCCTTGACTTTTTTTAATCTCTCTCTGTAGCTATTAAATGGAACATGGTTTTAAAGGGAAGCTACTCCATTAAAAATTCTTCAAGGCAATCTAAAGAAAGGTCAAAATCAAAAGAAAAGAAAAGAAAAGAAAAGAAAAGAAAATATGATATCTAAACAAAACACCATTAAAGATGGATTTATTTATAATAATGGCATTGTCACATCATTTTTGTCAACTTTTTTGTACTATGAATTTTATGTAAGAATAGAATTTTCCAAAATTTAATTGTCAAACCCTCCATACATAGAGTTCAAAAGTTTCTTCAGAAACTGTAGATGGAAAAGTATTAAGAGGCATGACAACCAATGTTGTTAATCCACCTGTATAAATGATGAGAGAGAGAAATCGAAGGCGTACCAATGGCAGATTTCATAACTCAGCAATAGTCCTGTTTGATCATGCAATCACACGCAAAAGTAGCCGACATTGCCCACCAGCCAAGTAATATCTGATCACTCAATACAGAGTAAAAAATTTAACAAAATCATCGCACAGCCTACAATAAAGTCTACGTACAGAAAAGATGCTTATCCAATTTGCACATGAATATCATTACATAGAATATAATGCCAATTCATTCACAGTCATGAAGCTAAGCATAATTGAAGAAAAATAATCCAAGAAGTGAGTTATCACTCAACACAATATAAAAAAAACAAATAAAAAAAAAAAAACAACTCACCATAACAATATTTGTAAGATTTCTAAACCAATCATTTTATTTTATTTTGCATACCCGTGTTTATTTTTTATTTATTAATATGTATGAGTATATATTATCTTACAATATGTATTATATATTATCTTACAATATGTATTATATATTATCTTACAATATGTATTATATATTATCTTACAATATGTATTATATATTATCTTACAATATGTATTATATATTATCTTACAATATGTATTATATATTATCTTACAATATGTATTATATATTATCTTACAATATGTATTATATATTATCTTACAATATGTATTATATATTATCTTATAAATATATTATATTTTATATAATAACTATTATATAATATATAATAATAATAGTTAACTAAACCCTCAGAATAGTTAACTATAATAGTTAATAATAATAGTTAACTATTATATAATATATATAATAATATATAATAATATGTATGAGTATATAATAATAATAATAATAATAATAACTATTATATAATAAGTGAACCCTCAGAACGGCAGAAGCAAGGGAGGGAGAGAAGGAGAGAGACAGAGAGGGAGATAGGTCCAGGTCCAGGTCAAGGTCGCGATCGCGATCGAGAGAGAGAGAGAGAGAGACAGATTGTGAAGGCGAGAGAGAGAGACAGATCGCAATCGTCTGGGGCTTGGAGCTTCGATGGAGCTTGGAGCTTCAATCTTCGACAGGTTTGTCTCTCTTCACTCTCTTCCATCACACTCTCTCCTTCGTTTCTCCCTCATCGTGTCTCTCGCCGTGTCCAGATCTGGACACGCGTGTCCCCTACAAGAAAAACAATTAAATTAAAGGGACACGGCAGATGGCGTTTTTTGCCGTGTCTATGCTTCATAGGTTATTTGTTGCAACAGAACATCCACAGTTTAGTAACAAAATAAAAGATTTCATATGGGTATTTTCATTGAACCATCTGGAACACATAAATCATGAAAATCATGTCAAAAAAAGACTGTAAATTTATAAGAAAGAACACTCTTGGCTTACAAGACCAAATACCTAAGTAGCTCACATGGAGTCTGCCACTAACTTGGATGGATCAAGATCATTCTGGATACAACCAAGGTAAGTTACCAAAAATTCTAAGTCAACGTAAATATAAGCAAGCATTAGGAAAGAAAATGATTGTATCAAACCCCTTCTTGATCATCAAAAAGTCAAATGACCATGATGCAAAATCAAACTTCAAATTAGTTTAAACCAGTAGAGTCCGTGGGAAACACAAGCCACAAAACCTCACTACTCAAAACATCCTAAAGGCATATCTACTGATTTTGCAAATAATAAAAATAGGTTAGTGTGTAAGCAATTTTATCATTGGTTCAATGGTAAAATCTTGACCAAATAATCTTGAGGTTATGAGTTCAAGTCACGGGACAACCACTTTGTACACTATTCCAAAGGTTAGGTGTGTACCCATTCTTTCTCATCCCAAACACACATTAATGTGTACTAATTGGGCTTCTTTTTTTTTTTTTTTTTTACAAGAAGTACATATCAAGAAAGCATGTAAAAGAAACTAACCGAAACAGATATAAAATATCAGCCACAAAAAACCAGTAACCATATCATCTCATAGAATAGTTAAAAGTTGTAATCGACGAAAAATTCAAGCCTACAAATCTGACCACTCAAAACATGGTGAATAATTTTAAATTTATGGAGGATATCTAATACTAAAAAAGGAATTGTAAAGACAGCATAATTTTTCTGAATGCATAACATTTTGGAGGCTAAAAATTTCTCATTCAACTTGGAGCTTACCTCAAATTGTTGTGCCCTTTGGTTTTTCAAGAAAGAGATTTGGGATTCCAGTTTATGAGAAAGTATCGAAAGCATTAGAAGAATATTAATAATAATCTATCTTGCTAATAATCTGTTAGAATCTAATCGTTGGCACAAAAAAAAAATCTCTTTCCTAGGTGACGAGGAGTGCTGCATCTCATTACCCCCTATTTTGGGTGTTTAATCTAACTAGGTAGGGATATCTAATCTAACTTGAAAGGGATTGTGTCCTGAATTTATATTTTTTAATGTAAAATAATGCTGATGTTTTTAAAAAAATTACTCAAAAAATTATTGTTTACTTTGTTGTCAATGTTGGTACTTCTTTTAATTGAAGTTCTGGTATTTCTGGTTGTGTAGGGCATTTGACTCCATTGGTATGAGATTATATTGGCTTGAGAAAAGTAACATCTAAAAATCCTGTAAACCAAAAAAGGTCAAGTTAACTAGAAAAAATAACAGCTATCAATCATATAAACCAAGATTTACTAGCTAGAACAAACTACAAACCGTGCTACAAATAGCAATCTAATTTATTAATAAAGAGCACAAGATCTGAAAAGGAGGGATTTAATTAGATAATATAATCATAAAAAAACATTAGATTTTTTCCCCTTCAAAGTCCAGATGGCGGAGATTAGATATATAATTTGTAACGCAATCTACCATATGGCCAGCAGGCCCACATAACATCAATTAAACGTTACCTAGGCTATGGCCCAACCTCACCACCTTCCAAAAAGAAAAAAACACCACTGACCTAACATCTTTCCCTTTTTACCTCCTATAATCAGAATAAAAAATTCTAAAACAAGTGACATAAAAAATGTCGTAATAAGATTTACTTTCGTATCAGCTCCTTTTTTCCCCATGGGTCTCCTGTATAAATATTTTTAAGAAATTGAATAGAATTAAATTCATTATTTCCTACTTGGTTAAGATGGTGTTTCCTTCTCACAAATACCCAAATTTAAATAATTGAAAATTTGACAAAAATCTTACAAGTATCTTACATGCATAGATTAAATCTCATAGCATAACTTTATACTTTCCATCTATCTTTGTATGCAATTTTTTTAGTTATTATATTTTGATTTTACTTTTTCATTCATTTCCCTCCCCGCACCTCCACACCTTTTTTTTTTTTTTTTTTCCCAGATAAGTAATGCAGTGCCGCTCAACATCCGACATTATTAAGAATGAGTCAGTGGAATTAAGTTCAACAACCCAGGCTAGCCAAAAGATACTGATATATAGAGGTGCAAACAAGCCAAGTTCATGGCTGCACAGTCGCAGTTCAATAAAGTTTTGACAATGTTCAAGCTCAACTCGAGCTTGGGTAAACATTAGAAAGATTTGTCCGAGCTGAGTTTGTTCTCTAATATAAATTTGTCTTGATTATCTCAATATGAAAGAGAACTTCAACTAGAATTGTATGACGGGTATTAATGTCTTACTAGAGAGTTAATCCTAGTCAATTTATACAAACTATATGGCCACCTCAAGAAAAGTTAAAAAAGCATGGCTATAAAGTCACCTCCTTGAGACATATTAGTGTGACTACCTCTATAAAGTCACCTCCTTGAAAAAAGCATGGCTATTCCTGCTTTGTTTTCACTGTTCCAGTGATGTAAAAGATTAGCCTTATCCTTTTCAAATCCAGTTAATTGAGCAGAGTATATTGAGCCAAAAAAAACAATGTTCAAGCTCGGCTCACTTACCAAACAAACTCTGATTTCACACTTGAAATTGACTCATTTTACATTCAAATCAAGCTTGAACAAATCCTAAACAAGCCAACCTCACGCTTATCTCGAGCTGTTCGGCTCCCCTATGTATTACTCTTATTACTAAAAAAAATATTGCCAGTCAAGATAGCCATAGATTTTTTAACACTGCAAGTGAATCTAGAATTAGATTTTTTTAAGGCTACAACAACACCATGACTTTGTCAAGATGGCCAATAAGTTTCTTGTTTACCCAAGAAGAAATAATATTTGTGCATAAAATTGCAAGTCAAGATAGGGAATAGGCTATATAAATGTAAAGAAAAAAAACACAATCTATTCAGGCAGGGAACATGTTCAATGGAACTTATAGTGAACAAAAATATGGTTTTCTCCATCTTGGTCACGGCTGTAGTCACTGGGCGGCTCATGTTGAATTGTATGCCTCAACCCTTATACCACACCCAATACCGCATCTCACAGCCTGGGCGATAATGCCAACTTAAGTTCTATTGTTTGATCATACAAATCAAGAGTAGCACATTATGGTGGTTGATATATCTGGAATCCTCTTCACATATGTCTATTAGAAGTGTGCATCAAGTATAATTGGACCTTAACAAACAATAAATAAAAGTAAACAAAAATCAATTTTTTCTCTACCAAGGAAAAAGCATATGAGGGAGCAAATTGTGCATATAAATGTAAACAGAAATGGAGTTAGAAGAAGCAAAATGAGCTTACAGTGAAAAATGAGAAGCATCCTAGCAGAAAACCTGCATCAGCAAAGGCACCACATTTGCTTCTGGCAACAAATTGTGCAGTGTACAACAATTTTTCCCTGAAAAAAGTCCTGTCTCCATTGCTAGAAGATTCAGTATGGGTTTCCCAAAGAGCCTCAAAGGTAATGATGCTAATTGCCCCTTCTTCAGTATATCCAAATCATATGTGATAAGGGTTTTTAGGGTCGGAAAGACCACCAGTCAAGACATAATAGAAAATCTTCTTCAGTATATCCAAATCATATGTGATAAGGGTTTTTAGGGTCGGAAAGACCACCAGTCAAGACATAATAGAAAATCCTATTTCCCAAGTGAACTAGGTATCCGAAGGACATTGTACTCAAAGATGATTCTCAATAACATCAGCCACATCAGAGGACAGGAATGCCATACGGTCAAACAATCCTCAGGCTTGGACTCACAAGTCCGCCCAAAT